TTATAAGCACTTATTACGGTGATCATTATTCTTTACAAAATTAATGCAGTCAATTTAGTAATAACTTCTCGTACTGTGCTTGTGACAACCCTCTAAATCACATCCTGTCTTCACAGACCCTCTAAAGGTACAATTTGGCTGCACGCGACAGAGACAAGCGACCGAGGCAGGCGACAGAGACGGGAGACGGACACATCGCAGCTTGTCGCCACACACTTTTGAGGTGACGACCGAGACATGCGGCAAAGTGTTTGTTTTCTTTGTTTTGTTGAGACATACGTGCACATATTCTGTGAAAAATGAGTACAAAAATGCTTCTAAAAAGGTTACTCGAAGAAGATGATGTGTTGCTGTGTTATTTGTTGCGAAAGAAACAAAGAAAACCTATGAGTTCAATATTCAAAACCAGACGCGAAGAAGGATCTTTCTGTCGGTGGTCAGTGGTCGGTTTTCTGCTACTAATTCTACCAATTGCTCATCTTGGTCACCAGTAAATTTAATTTCTGCCATTATTTTACTCAACAACACAGTGCTGCCTGAGCCCGTCGCGAGACACTACTGGTCCGAGAGCGGTCGCCTGTGCTTTGTCTCTGTCGCCTGTCTTTGTCTCACGCTCGTAATTGTACAGAGAGCAGACAGGAAGCGACCAGTCTCGGTCTTGTAACTCTGTCGCGTGCAGCCAAATTGTACCTTAACTTAAAAGTTTTGTCGAGTTATTTGCAGTTCTATAGCACAGCCTCTTGCGTGACTATCTCCGCTAATAACAACTCTATGCTTTTTTTTCCTCTTTTGACATACATTCCTTTCTGTGTTCTGTTCCTTTTTCACTTCCCCACATTTGTTTTTGTGTGTGTGTGTGTGTGTTGTTTCTGTCGTATCTTCAAGGTTACAAGGCAATGCATAGCATTGATAATGACTGTGTTTACGCTATTTTTTTTCTTTTAATGCTTTCGTGACGCCATATAATTACTTCTGTCCATTTGTTTCAGTTTTATTCAGTATAGATCTCTTATCCAGGCCTGTTTTAGGTCTGCCTGCACTTTCCTTCTTCGTTAATTCTGTCATGTTTCCTTCCTTTTGGAGCAATTTCATGATTTTTGGGTCTGAAGCAAGGTCTATCAAGTGTGAATACTGGTAAACTTACATATATATCCGTAACTAATCTTCTAGACAACCTGTATTGCTTTATTATAACAGACTTACAGAGCGACCTCCAAGTCCTCAATTTACATGCTTTCACGAACACAATAAATTTATTTCGCGCCAAAATACAGACTCAAACACGGCCATAAGCAGCAGAGATAACTAAAAATGTTGGTCATAAAAGATATGTGTGACACGGTGCTACCAGCTGTAACACGAAACGGCTGTATTATATCAGGCAGTCACAGAAGTGCTATTGTATCATTCAGAATTTGGTCTTGTGGCGTCAGCCTACTGGGAAGTTCATAAGGACTAGAATCTAACATTGTAATATTCTTCCTTCAGATTCAAGCTATGGTACAGTATTCACTTATCGTATAGGCACACTGTTAGAAACAGACTTACATACGTGGAACAAGTATTTGTACTCAGCATTTTTTTAGATTAAGATGGATATTGAATTTTATCTTACTGTTTCATATTTAGTTATAATTTAGATCAAGTACGTATTAGCTTATATTAATTATATTTAAATATCCTGCAGATAACTGGCATAAGTGGAATGTCTGAGAAAGAAGATAATATTGAAGTATGGATATCTTAGGTTTGGGTATTATGACAACATACAGACCTATTATATTAGCCTACAATTGACACCTCTTCACTCTGTGACTTTGGTTATTACATGATTTTATTTCTGTAGAGGCTAAGTGATTTAATCAGAAATCATTTCAGATGCTGATAGCAGAAGACTGTAAATGTTTTAGAGTTCTGGTTATTATATATAATTTATATGCTGATTGATACTTGGTCATAATTTGAGCACATGCTATTAGAGCCAACATTTATCAAAAAATTGCTGTAAACATAACTGAATACAGCTCATGTTCTCAAACAGCTGCTTCACAGTAAGATCATGTTTTTGCACCTATTCAAAAGAGTGTGTAAAGTAACTGTTTTGTATTAATCTTTATCACACTGGATAACACATCAGACAATAACAGTTTCTGAACTAAGATATAGCATTCATTCTTCAAATTTGTTATTTTAATTTAATTTTGAATCTCATTTGCAGACACTGATACCAGCAAACAAAATGTCTTATCATATTCTTTATTGCACCGATTGGAAGTAATATACAGTATTTTCCCTTAGCACATTTTGGATAGGGTTGCTTCAGAATGGACTAATAAAATATGTCGGTGGGCCATAAAGTTTACACATCTAGCTTTACAGATTTCTCGACATTCCAGGAACCAAGTACTACAATTGAAGAACGCATCAAAGACCTCAAGACAGAGATATGTACAAGTTACATGCAACAGAAAACCATTCCCTAAGCATTAAGCTGACCCAGAAGAACCTGACTCATTTGTTCCCATCAGTTCACTGGCATGTTAAAATATAATTACTTGGTGAATAAATGACAATTTCACGTGCAGTCACTTTCAAGCTTTTTATCATACTTGGGGCTCTGGCTCTGCCTAACTCGCCAGTCACGGCTGGGATATCCCACAATTCCCTTTCCTATTTTCCCAACCTTCCCTCTAACCCTTTCCTCCCCTCATTTTTTAGGAATTCAGAGATGAGAAAATGAGGGATATGAACAGACAATAAATTTAAAGAATAGTTAATATGTTGTGACTCGAGGCATATCTGGCGTTGGTCGCCAGAACTTCTCTGAACTCATTTAAGCGGTATCTCTTCAGAACCCATTGCTCGGTACTTATATAATTTTTTACATTTATGCAGAGGGATTTCTTTTGATTACCCGCACAATTATTGTTACCACATAATGGCATATAGTTTTACTGTGTACAAAAAGACAGCGGTTTCACTATCATTCCATACCGTGGCTTGTCACCGGTCCACGTTGATAAAATACTTCAGTAACTCTGGTTGAAACAACTGACTACAAAATAGCAGTTACACATCAATTAAAAGTATCTTGTCTTGCAGTAGATGAAGCAAATGTGTGTTACAGTAGATATTTTTAAAATGTTTAGAGTCCTGTGTTTTCTCAGTGACATTTTTTAAAAAGTTCAGGATGTGGCTGTAGAGGCATCAAATTTACTATATTTTTATTATATTTTTGGCCTAGACATACATCAGTAGAATTAGTTAGCCCTAGTACCATTACTGCTGGCAGAGCCACCTATCAGCAGATGCTTTGTACTACCACAATGTCACCCACCACAGTATCATTTTTATTGTATCGAGATATAAAGTTAAACACATAATTTTGTCATTTTGTCAATAGTTTTCCAACAGTTGTCATGACACCATCTTCCAAAAGAAATCTGGCTACTGTTCGGACTCTTCGGATGTCACATTGGTTGAAGAAATATTTGGAACCTTAAAAGATGAAGCAGGGAAAACAGAAACAGTTAGATGTTTTACGCTGTCCAATAAAAACGGGATGAGTGTAAAGATTATCAACTATGGAGCAACCATCACGAGTCTGAATGTTCCTGACAGGACTGGAAATGTTGAAGATGTTGTCTTGGGTTTTGACAATATGGATGGTAGGTGGTTGTGTTCACGACATTTGTAAAATATGGAAGTTTGTTTCACTTTTCTTTCCTGTAGGATATTATATTTTCATGGCATAACTTCTTCATTAGACCTTGTTACGGAACTTCTTTGCCTGGATCTTTAACAATGCTTCACGAACTTCACAGCTTATAGTTTTGAGTATGAAATTACTATAATCATGAATTGGAAAAGATGTGTAAGAAAGAAGTCCATAGCCAACTTTAAGACAGTATGGCAGCATTTTCATGGAGGGATTGAGGGAAATCACATAAAATCTCATTCTCATTCTCGCAGCTGGTGTCCAAAACTCCCAAATACAGTCTGCAGTGCCACTACACTATGACACAGAGTTTGTTGAAACTGAAGATGTTATTATGGTGAAGTAACTACAGACAAGATTACTTGGGACAACAGTATACTGGCTGCATCTCATATATTTTTCTTCTTCTATGGCTCTCCGGTCCGTATTCGGTCCATGGCCTCCACAATTCTCCTCTTCCATTCGGTCCTCTGTTAGGTCCGTCTGTCCAAGGCTTTGATTGAGGTTTCGAAACATCTTCCTTTTTACGGTGCAAGGTTGTTGGCCTTGCGACCAACCCCCAACCTGGAGGACCAGGTACCTGTCTTAGTCTGACCTCTCCCCCCTACCAGTAGCTATGCTACCGCCAGCATAGCTCTTGGGGTCACTGAGGTACTCAAGCCCCATGACCATGACAAGGTGCAGGTACCATTAAGTGGGGGCATCTCATATATTATCATGTATTAAATGAATTCACCAGACAGTATTTCATAATACCAATCAATTAGTTTCCAACCTGCTTGTGCTTGGATATATTTCTTTCTATATATCTTACAAAACAGATCTTTGCCTTCATGACAGCCAACTGTGAAAGCCATTCCTCAGTTTAATTAGTTTCAAATGTATGAGTATGTATCAGGCTATTAGGAACAGGCAATCAAGTGTGTGAAGAAGGGAAGAACAATTAGGATTGGCAAAAGATTCCTGGAAATCTCAAAATATAATTTCCAACAAAAGAAGATTTCTCGTGAGGGGAAGAAAATGTCTCTTTAAGAGCAGTCTGACATTTTAACTGTTTCTCACTTTCATTATTTTGTTATAGGATATGAAGGATCAAATAATCCATACTTTGGATGCATTGTTGGAAGAGTTGCCAACAGGATTGGAAAAGGGATGTTCCATCTTGGGGGTCAAGAATATAATGTAACAGTCAACAGAGGAACATATCATCTGCATGGGGGGAAGAAAGGTTTTGATAAGGTTTGCCTAGCACAGACTAGTTGCTTTACTAATTTTACGTTTGTTTCTTGAAATGGCAAAGGCCACTTATGGTTATCTATATGTTTGAGCTCCAGAAAGATTCCATCACTTGAGCATTTTTGATGAAATGTCCTGGAAATAATTGAGCTGACATTTAAACTTTCATACTTTTGAGTTGCTCCCAGCCAGGAACAAATAATGATATGTGTTTCAGGTAAAACATGAATCTTTGGTGCAATTCTCTCAGTTTTAACAGAAATACAGTGTATTGCCATACTATTTTATCTGAAAACTGGTGCTAAAATGCAAATATTTCCACAATATGACTGCATACAAACCTGACATGAAAATCAAAACTGAGAAAACTGATTAAGAGGGCAAATTTCCTTTGGTTTAATTCTTCCCTGGAATATGTGTTACGGTATTGATCAATGGTTTCAATTAAAACAATCAGAATATACACAAATATTTCTTTTTCCTCCTTTCTAAAGTATAGAGTCTTTTCCATGAAACGTCTACCAGATTTGGATGGTTATTCTTTGGCTTATTTTGAGTGAAAAATGTCATCTGTTATGTAGTTATCTGATAAATCAGTGCGTCGGATATAACTGAATCACTGAGGTCCACATGCCTGGCCATCCCAAGTGCCAGACTTGTTGCCCCTTGATTTCTTCTTTTTGTGGGGATACATGAAGGACTTGGAGAAACTGCAGACTTGAGATGAACTCTTTACACACATCATAGACATAGTGCTCTCAAATGGAACAATCATGAAAGCATGTGGAAAGCAGATATTCTAATGAGCTCACTTGTGCACTGCCAATGCAGATCATTTCAAACAGCAAGCTAATTAAGTATGTATGTTATATCATGATGTAAGTTACACATTGTATATTACGATATCTATTTGGTTGCTTCACGCCTTCAGTAAAAATAATTTCATTTAACCTGCGTGTCTCTTTTCGTTCCTTCTGTTTCCATCCACCTATGAAATGGTTGAGATTTTGACCTGCACTGATACACTTTTCATTCGATATAAGCCAGCATACAACCTCTCAAGTTCAGCAGACATTTTGTGGAAGATACTGTATACAGCACGTTTCCTGACATACACTGACACTTGTCAGGGTTTTTATGCTCTATAGTTACATAAAAATTATAAATACTGTTTTTTTTATTTCTGCACACGTGTACATGAAACGCATACAGTAAAATATTGCAATTCAGACCATGCAGCAAAAATTATAGTCCAGATGCAATTACAATCTAGATTACTGAGGCAAAAAGCTTACAATAAAACTAGAGGGGGAAATTATTATTATTAAAACACTGCTGTAGAGTACTTAGCAGTAATTCTAAGTCAGTGTCCAGTATGTCAAAAGCTGGGCCAGGAGATACTAAGTTCATATTTTTCAGTGTTAGGATGAGATGGAGTATTATCAGGAATTAATCTGGCCCCTGTGTCTTCAGAGTAACTCTTCAAGACTTAAGATTGAAATTTGTTAACCTCTTGAGTAGACCAAATGAAGCAACACCCAGACTTATATTGTTTGGACTTGCAACATTTATTGAATGAGCATGTAGCACAAAATTAATATTAATTTGAGGAAAGGTATATCTGTAGAAACTACCTTCCTTACATAGTATTTAATATTAATTTGAGGAAAGGTATATCTGTCTTCCTTACATAGTATTTTCTAAAGATTTTATAGTTCTTCAGCTATTTAAGAAGGTAACATAATATGCATCATTATCCGGAGTTAATTCCAGCCTCAGGAATTAAAGTCTGGACTTCAGAAGCATAAACGAGTAATGGAACCACTACAATTCAACACACATTTAGTCATCTACATGGTTACAGGCATTGTGGTCGTCACATGTTGATGGTAACAAGGTTACATTTACATACCTGAGCAAGTGTGGTGAGGAGGGTTACCCGGGGAATGTTCTGGCACAGGCCACATACCAGCTGTCTTCCGATAATGAACTCATTTTGGATATGACTGCCACATCTACAAGACCAACACCAATCAACCTCACAAACCACTCTTACTTCAATTTGGCTGGACATGTAAGTGGATGTACTCGTAAAATCTAGTACTAAAACAGTCTTCTCCTGTGTTAAAAATATTATTATCATTTGGAGTTCCAAAGTACACTGTGTATTGGGAGGCCCATGTTTATATGATAAAAGGTAACATTTGAAACTTAAAATATTGACAAGCTATTATATTAATGTGTTGATACATAATGAAGTAAATGAACAAATCTTCCATTCATGTGAACAATGTTCATAACAATTTTAGAATTTCATGCAGGAAAACATGATGTATGAAGATCTGCGATTTGAATGTGTGATGTTAATGGTACACTACACGCTGTTAGTTTAGTAGTCTATTAGTTCCCTGATGGTTCTGAAAGTGCACATAGTTTCATCTTAAATTGCAACAGTTATAAACTGAATCTCTGTGTCCAAAATATTGGAAAGGTGTACTCCTTGTAGTACAATGACATTCCAAAGGCATTTTTCATGCCACATCACATAGGACATTGTCGAACTAATGTCATCTGAGGTTACCATTGAGCAAATGGTCCATCAGTATACTCATGTTATTGTTGCACTAATGTTATGAGGCAATTATTCCTCAACAGAGTGTTCCAAATATGACTGTTCCCTGAGTTGTGCAACAGTGTGTTCCAATAATGGTTCCCATTTTGTAAGAATGACCCTGGTCATGCAGGTTGTCTGAATCTTAGGAAAACACAACAGAATGACTGACAGACAGACAGACAGACAGACATGGACTGGTCCATATGGTGTTCTTCCCTTATGCTACAGCATGAAGAGCACCTAAATTTGATCCGCTAATCAGAATAAACATCACATTGTGCTACATCCTATTTTTATTTTGCCTACTTCCCTTTCTTTTTATGGGGAAGTAATGAAAGTGCCCAATTTTTGCTCAGTTCATCTTAAATAAACTATGCTGAAACTGCTTATTTATGATAATCTTATGAATATATAATTCGGTACTTGTGGGTTATCGGGACACATCGCTTTAAAAATAGGTTAGGTTAGTTGTCATTTATTGAAATAAAATATAATAACTTTTAAGTATATGTCATTTATCCAACATTAACGTAAGCTAACCTATTTTTAAACTGACGTGTCCCGATAACCCACAAGTACCTATAATTCTATTGGCCAATGTTATATCATTTGCCTCCATGGTGCCACATAACGACCATTTTATACACTAAACAGGTACCATGCAATGAAACAGTTGTGAGCATAGATAATTTTTGCACCATAAATCTTATTATGGTTGCCTACTTTTTTGCATATTGCATAAATACATTAGAAATTTGGTCATTAGCATCTTTGAGGTTATGTAGACAAATGTAACATAGCCAAAATCTGTATTACTGGCATTAACGCACATAAATAAATCATATAACTGTTAATTTATGGTTATCAAGAGCCTGACAATTCTGAGTCAAGCATTTGAAAGAAAGTAAGTTCTAGAACTTATTTTAAAATACAGATAACTGTTGCAGAATAAGGGTAGAAATGGTGTGTTGGAACAGACCATATGCATCAATGCTGACAGATACACTGAAGTGGATCATGAGAGTATTCCTACAGGTGAGTTCCAAGCAAAGGCATCTAAAACTTATTGAAATTTTCTGATTGTTTGTCATCAGATTCAATGTGGTTTCACATTTCTACAGCTTTCTCTATTTCAAGATTCAATGTGGTTTCACATTTCTACAACTTTCTCCATAACTGATCAATCCAGTGTTCTTTCTTCAAATTCTCTCCTCCCATCACTTTACAAGGCTTGTTCTTTCTGATTCTGTACCCAGCAATCTACCCCTAAGTTACAATAATTTTTAACTGCACAATATTCATGTAATTTTGTTCCTCTACTTTTACTCCCTGTCCTCGCTTTCACAAAATCCACAACTAAGTAAGAAGAGTTTAGCTTTTTAAAAATTCATTCATTTGGTTAACTGTATGAGACAAACTGTTTGGTTAGCCAAGTTTGAAGTAATTTGGAGAGTGAAAGATATCACTTATGTGATACAGTCAACGTATGTAAACATTTTAAACAGTTACTGAATGATGTTCTGCTTATGAATCTTCATGTGTGAACATGCAAAGATCCATAGAAAAGGTGTGGGAAAGATTAATTTGTTCAGGCATGTATACAGAATATGAAAGGCGCCAGAGTTAATTTGGTTCAGCATATTTTGCTACTCGCAGAACTTGGTGTACTAAGCGACTGCAATTTGAATAGTGAGCAAATATTAAGTTATCTGTGTGATTACATAATATACTGGCTGCAGTGGGCAAATAGGTTATGTGTTTCAAGAGGGCTAACAAGGACGTAAGTGAAAGCCCGCAGAAATGCTTTCAGCATTGATAATCCCTCTGATAGAAGTGTGTAACAGCAGAAGGGAACTACCATACTTCAACGGTAATGAGTGTGTAGTAAAATCTACACTGATAACAGATAAGCTTACATGGACAAAAATTCGTAACTTACTCTATTATGCATATACAGTAAGCAAGGGGGCGGAATTTCTTTGTGGTGGTTCACGATGGTAAGCCTCTATCATACCAGCACCTTTTTTTCAAAAAGCATGTAAATAAATATATAAAATTGTTTTAACTTCTCCAGAGGTATATTAATTTTTGTTATACACTATTTTTACTTTCCTAAAATATAATTTGGTTTTAAATTTTAAAGTTTATTCTTGTCAGAGAACTTAAAGAGTATCTCCCTTCCTTGTTATATATGTGGAAACAAAGTAACATTTGCAATGCCGATATGCTATATTATATACTTGTGGTATAAAATGCTATCAATCTATGAGCTTATGTCCTTTGCTAATCTTAAATGTGTAAGAGAAACTGTTTTGAATTCAGATATGTTAATTATGAGAACAAAGTGGAAAGATGTAATCTCTAAGTGTGAAACATTAACACTAGGTGATCTGAGATGCCTTGCAAACACAGACATGGACTTGAGAGTTCCAAGACTGCTTTCTGATGTTGTGAGAGCTACAGGGGGTATTGACCACAATTACTGTATCAACCAGTGCAGCCATGGAGGTCTCACCTTTGTAGCCAGGTGAGACAAAGAACTGCACTCTGGTGACAAGTTCACATTTATGAAACAAAGGAGAAGCACACAGTTTATGCTGTGTACCGCATTTTATGATACTCCAGGCTAATTTCAGCTGTTCCTTTTACAAAGTAAATTATATGACCTATCCTTACTAAAGTTACATGTCTTTTATCACTCTAGGTAAATACTAGGGTGGTAATTTGAACAGGCCATTGCTATGTCCTTTTTACTAACAATTCATAATTATCTCATTCTGTAATATATTAAGTCTACAGTTGAAATGACATCCTCAAATAAATAAAAAAATGGCTGTTTTCTGGGTTGTAGTGCTGTGTAGTCTTGTAAAAGTTTACTGATATTTGTGCTTGCTGCCTCCATTATCAGGTTAATGTGCGATGGAGGCAGTAAGTACCTCTGAAATGTTGGTAAACTTCCACCAGACTACACAGCACTACAACCCAGAAGACGGCCATCTTCTTACTTGCTGCTGTAAGAACTTGATATCCAACATTTGTCAATCTTGAATCATGTAGAAGCTCCTGAATGGTTGAATGAATTTGAATAATTGTTAAATTAAGCACACAAACTTAACTTATTTCATACTTCGTTAAAACTTTCAATGATTAATTACTGTATACATACAGCATCTGTCTCCTACACCAGGGCTTGTAAGCAACAGATCTTTTAAATAGAAAGGAACAGAAGAGAAAATCAATTGGTATTTTTGACACATAAATCGCACCACAGTCATCTCACAGTAGTGCACAATCTGACATAATGAATACAATTTAACCTATAGATTACCATTGGGAAGGGGGATTTAGACCTATAAATCATAACCACGTTATTTAAATTTTTTCCAATCCTAATTGAGCCTTAAATTTTTAAAAGGGAGTTTCAGTCAACAACAAAGCGAGTTTTGTACATTATACAATTATGATGTCCTGTCCATGTCTGGAATATACTTGGAAATTAGTGATATTTCAATCTGCCATTAATACTGACAATAAACCATTAAAACACAGCTGCCAGTATCATGACAACCAATTTGGCTGATGACTGAAGTACAGTCAGTTCCTAATGAACAATGTCCAGTCAGCCACTATCAGAAGGCCTCAGAGATTCATTAATTCTGCACATGTAATAGTTTTCTATTACTATAGTAGCTTCAGTAGAGCTAAATTCTCTGTAATTTCAAGGCTATTAGGTACACTTACAAAAGCTACATGCAGGCCCGCACCAAGCATATCTGCCGCTCAAGTTCAAGCTCATTCTGCCGCCCTGATGTATAAGTACTACATTTTTCTGTTTTTAGATTACCAAGTTTAATTATGGATGGATTTCAGTTCTTTTCAGTGTCCCTTCAACCATGGCTCCCATAGGCAATTGTATAATTTGCTACCCTTTGGTGCCGCCCCTGATTTCCGGCACTCCAATGCAATGCTTCAAAATTCTGTGCTCCCGTAGCAAGTTGCTGCTGCTCTAATGTTGCCACCCCTCATATGATGCACCCCTTGCACCCATAGGGTGGTGCGGCTCTGCTTTTCATTGCCCCTCAATCTCGTGTCTGGGGTTTAAAAAGTAAAATGAAGTTACCATATTCCAGAGCAACACATATTCTAACAGGACGATTCATGGAGGTGTATTCCAATCAGCCTGGTGTGCAGTTCTACACTGCAAATTTTCTGCCAGATAAGAGTTCAGGGGACAAACTTGTTGTTGGAAAAAATGGAGCAAATTACATGAAACATGGAGCATTTTGCTTGGAGACACAGAACTTTCCTGATGCTGTCAATCATGTAAGTTACATAATCTAAAATGGCACTTTTGAATTAATGCCATAATTTAACCTATTAATGCCACCAAACAGATCAGTCCTTAATGAAATTGGGAAACCAGTGATAGCTTTTAGTTGAATACAAGAACATTAACAGAAATGCATTCATAAGAAAATTTTAGATTTGGAATCATATTTGCATAATTACACATTTATTAAAATTTTCAGAAACATTTTGGAATCTTTCTGAATGTATGGGATTATTTTTTCTTATATATGAAGCAGAATTATCAAACATCCCAGTATTATAACAAGTACACTGGATTTCGGTTAATTCGGACACATCAGTACTAGAACACTTTGGCCCAATTAAGCGGCTGCCCCCAATTATGCGAAGTTCCACGTAAAGAGTTAAAAAGATTTGTTCCAAATAATGGCTGCCCCGATTAACCGAATCTACTGTATATGCAAAATTGATAAAATGGATTCATAACACCTTTAATTTGATCCCATAAAAGATTAGCTATCTTGTTATTATTCTCTGTGACTAAAATTAGTTAGCAGAATGCTGCGCCAGACCATGTTTGTAATCAGTGCTAATTTCATCATCTTTTCCTCTACAAGCATGATCTGGAAAAGAGTATAAACTTTCTGACTGTTTAATGTAGTCAGGGTTGAGGTTAAGGTAAGTAGTACAAAGATCGGTTCAGATGATCTCATAACCGAAATATAGTGCCTAGCTAACAGCAAAGAGAGAAGACCTCTGCATGTTATATTGTAAACATTCTGCACTGAAAATTACTGTCTGATGCTACAAATTAAAATGATTCTTTATATGCTTCTATTTTACAGAGAAACTTCCCAAACAGCATACTGAAACCAGGCTACACATATAAACACAGAGTGATATATCACTTTGGTGTGTTGAACAGTTAAAGGTCCTACAAAGAGCTGTCACTATTCTAAACATGGTGTTTCCTTACATAACAGTTTATTTTATATCTTAATTGTATCAGTCCATGTTACTGTGAGGACTGTCAGTGTCATACATGAGAGTAATAACATTGATACAAATAACAAGAAGATTTTGGGTCCCCACAACATAAAGTATGAAGATTACTTTTCTGTGTGATTGTGCTGTGTAGTCTCAGAAATTTATGGGATGATTACTACCAACATCATCAGATCAATGAAGAGTCTGTCAATTTCTAAGTGACCAAAGGCACAATAACTCAGAAGACAGTCATATTTAAATAAGTAGTAGTTCTGGCTGGAACTCATAAAACTCACTTTCTTATTGAACATAATCCCTGCTCTACAAATCTCATGTTATGTAAGTAATGTTAATCTAAAAGTAAAATCAATTTAGCTCATGCATATATGGTCAGACTGAATCCCAACATGAGTCAGAATATTTTTCTTGCACATATACATACGTTGTAGACTTTATAATTATTATTATTAATAGTAGTATTGTTTTTAAGGGGAAGAACTAGTTGCTTATGATTATCTACATTAATTCTGTTGAATCCTCAGACATTTATAGTCACCATGCTTGTAATTGTTGGCTAATAAACTTTTCATACATATGTAAGACTTGAGGTTCTCACAGCGGTGAATATGAAGATTTCTGTCTTCTGGGTTATTGAATTCATCGCCCTGATGACGGAGGCAGTATGACCTCTGAAACGTTGGTTAACATCGACCAGACTACACAGCGCAATAACCCAGAAGACAGAAATTTTCATACATAATTTGTAGGTATGTTTGTAATACAAGATTTCATATTCTTACTCTTACAAATGCAAGGATTAAAATGCAGAATATGTATTAACCTCAAAAAGTGTCCATAACAGTTTTCATGAAGATCTGTCACAATAATCCAGGTAACACAAATGCAGACGGCCTGCAAGAGAGAGAGGCGCAACAAGGCCGATATCAGGCATGGGCACAGAATTATGGCTAATGACATCATAATCTTCCCACCTAACGACATTGCGCATACATCACAACGGAAAAAACTGGGATTTTAGTAGATCATTCTCTTTAAAACTGTTACTATTCGTTTGAGAACAAGGTTACTTCTGTTTCAGTATTAAAAATCTTCTCAAGTCAACAAAACATCAATCTACATGTCAAAACAAACGCCAGCTTCAGCAAACGATAAAAAAACTGACTGACCTTTCTTTGCTGTCTCCTAGTTTCCAGATGGCCGTGCTTCTCTGAATCACCTCACAGAATGCTCATCCACTAAACACTTGATACATATTTCAAGCATCTCCATTTTAAAGGACCAATTTTCTTAGGAAACCAAAGCACAGATAACAGGAACGTTGTTTCAGCACTAACACATTTAATCAGTACTGTAAATATGTCTATATAAAATTTTGACCATAACACAGGCTTTTTAAGTTTGTTGTGGTATTCCTCTGCGTGGGATATTAGTATAAAATAGGGCACGAACGCACTCTTCAATTCACCGTGCATCACCATGCTCATCCACACCGAATGTCGCATTACTGAATCAAATCTGTTGTTTCCGGTTAAAATGTCGATCTACAACCCACTACCCTGAATTAGGTTTCCCGTACTTTTCCTCTGTACCTGCAATGAAATTCCGTACTTTGTATAAGCCATGATCGATTATCCCACCTTAACCAATTCATTAATCATTATCACAGTCATTTCTCATTCGACTGTAAATAATCTGAACTGATAAACGAGCGTCATTAAGTTGAGAAATCTGCATAAAAAATTTCATAATGCAACCTTCCAACAAGTAACAACAACGGAAATTTACGTAAGTCACTCGTCCAATCAACATTTGTAGCCATGCAACACAACATGGCTTATCTACCGAACTGTTAAGAAATGTTAGGTTACCTCACGATTTTCAGCAACATAAGACAAAACTCCCGTCGTAACAAATTAACTTTATCATAGAAGTTCTGAGTCTTATATTTAAGATGTAGGTTCACAGATGGTAACATTAGATCCAGATAATTAATGCCGATGTGAAATTCATTTCGATGAACCGCGTAGTAATAAAAAATATAGCAGTCTACACAAAGAAGTATATGAGCATAATTTACAATTTATTTCTTCCAAAATTCATAGTTTAACTGAAATTTTAATTTAGTCTGTGTCGTCACTCGCCTCTAAATACATATAAATTATCACATACGACCACTATTCATCAAAGTAAACCTTTTACTGTGTTTAACATCAACATCGATCAGTAAAACAAGAAATTCGCTTTATATCGATAATCTTAAAATACGTCATCCCTTTATCACACGCGATTTCCCACATCGATCTGTTCATATGTATTGATTAATCTAGCAAGCTAAACCCTCTGTATCGTCTCCTTCTCCCAGTATTTCAATTTTTTAGGGTCGATAGTCGAAAAGTATTCATTTTACGATTATAGCCAGGTCTTCATCGCTTCGTCTTCTAGCAATTGACTAAACCACCTTCTTCTGCCTTATCCCATGCATCTCTTTCCTTTAAATGTAAATTTTAATATTCTTCCCTGCATAAAAGACATTATTACATGCAATAAATGATTTTTAAAATAAATATTTTTAAGATTGGGGGGAGAAGCAGGCGGTCGACTATTACTCCCATTACCTGTCATTGATCGACTGTGCAGTGAAACAAAAAATTATAATTAAAATAAAGGCTGTGGGATTCACACTGAAGCGAGTACCGACAAAAGCGTAAATTAATAGTTCGAACAAAAAAACTGAAACATATCGGATTACGTGTTTCAGTTTCAAAATCCAAGTAACTAATTTACATATTATTTTTGTTGTCAGATCAAAGCCTGTTACGGTGTTGGGCTACTCAAACACGGGGTCTGTAGTTCGAATTCAGCTTGAGCATGGATATTTGCCCCCTTTTCTGCGTCGTGATGTCCCATACGCCCCTCTGAAATATAAGAAGACAAGACTTAAATCGGGTTATAGCAACAATTGCATGGAGCAGAGTCATTGAGAAGCTAATGGTCACTCAGCTGGTCTAGAAATTCCACGTCTTTTACGTAAACAAAACATTCGTTATTATATTTAGAGGATCCCACCACAATTCTAGTCCACTTTAATATTATCTTCCCACATAGGCATACGCATGTTTCTCAAGGTTACGACACCAAATGAAACACGTTTGCGAAGAATGGGATTCCCAGGTTTATGCTGACAAGAAACCGGCATATGCTGGGGGCAAACGCTTACGACATTGTCGTGGAAATGATAACAAAAGACAGAGAGGAAAGGAACAATGTAAAAAAGGAAGCAGGTGTTTACTAAGGTATTTAATGACACGGTGGCAATGGAACGGTGTTCATTTACAACTAGAAACCAATCCAGAGAAGAATACGTGGTTCTTGTGCATTGTCTCGCCGCCGCTGGTATATAATGCAGAACAGGATCATTTATCATCTTTCTGCTATGAGTCGAAAGGTTCGTCGTCGTCGTAGCTGTCTTGCGCGTCAGTAACATCACTCTACTTACGTTTGGCTAGCTTTGACGCTTTCACGGCGAATACATGCAATAAATTCTCTGGAGCTAACAACCAACGTTATGGAGACTGGCTCTGCCTTCAACACCAGAGTCCATGTGAGGACAAGACCACAATCAAAACACACAAAAATACTTTTTCTGCCAGTATATTTTGGTTATGTTAGTTAAAGAAACGTTACCTTATTACCTCAAATAGCCTATGTTACAGCTAAAGCTTTTCATTTTCATAATCCATCTTACGCTTTAGACCTTTTCGCTACAGTCAGTAGTTCACTATAAATCTAAAGATTTCGTCTCTATGAGAGTCTGGTTTTCCAAATAACACAACCTTTCAGTAACATACTGCACACAAAAATAAAAATGGAATACAGGTTAGTCTCTGAAACATGTGAATAAATTAGATTCTTCCAGGGAAAATGCTGAGGGTTTCTTCACGTGTTAACCACAAAAATTGCTTTTAGTGTGAAGAGCTTTTCAAGAATAAACTTCCTCTACGACGTAACGGAACGCCTGGAATTAGTTTTATTCTGTTTGTCTTTAAAAGCAATAGTATATGAAACTATTACAATTGATTTGGATAATTTAAGAAAGTTTTATTGTGTATTATTTGCAATTATGTGCACAAAATTAACATATCGGCCGGGGTGTCAAGCTGACCATTCAACCCACCCAGTGCCCAAGACTATAGTCCGCGACTGTAATCTTGAGACTTGCGGAGTGAGGTGAAGGAAGAAAGATAGCGTCTGCCTTTAACGCTTCGGACTTCCTGCATTCCTTGCAAATCTCAAGATTACAGTCGCGTACTGTAAGAATACTGCCGCCACGGTGGTCTAGCGGTTAGAACGCTGGCCTTGTAATCCTGGGGTCCCGGGTTCAATTCCCGGCGGTGCCCGAATTTATAACTTATGTTGGGCAAGGCCGTG